TCACATACGTACATGCCATGGCTGTTGTGGACCAAACGCTGGGGGTATCATGCCACGCCCATTCCCGCGCTACTGGCTCGTCGGAAGGAGGTTGTTTTTCTCCACTAGTAGCGGCTTCATTTATATGGTAAAGATTTTAGGCAATGGCACCTAAAGTGAAGGTAAAACTTCAAAATTTTAATATTTTTATAAATCATAGCAAAATAAAAGCTTTTAGGTGCTATATGTCGCTCGCAAACTACCAATCGAGCCGGGCGCAAACAGGGGAAACTGCCAGTGCGCACCAACAAGCTGGTGCATACGTAAACTTAACTAAATTTTTACCCGTCACTGATGGGTTAAGGAAAACTGGCAAAAGAGCTATTATGAAACAATCAACAGGTAATACAGGTAGACATAGCTGTTGGAGGAGCAGCAGGAGATGAATCTGGGAAATGAGATAAAGGGATTGGGTAAGGTGATGAAGTATCAGGAATAGTGTCAGGACGGGAGGGATCCAGATAAGGATACTGTTGCAACAGAAGGGATTCTTGTGAGTATCCATGTAGGAGAGGTAAGAATGATAGGGAACAAAGAGGGAGTGGTGCTGATTGAGAAGGAAAAGATGGGGTGTGTTGGGGAAAGATGGGGGAAGAGGGGTAGGGAGAACTTGAGGGGGAGGAGGAAGGAGCATTCTCTTGGGTCATGTCTAGACATTTTGGATGTCTTGAAGAATTTCTGGAGAGGAGTTGGGTGGGGTGGGATATTGATAAAGCAAAAAATAGGTGGCAGTTGGAGCAGTACGAGGAGAAGAATCCAGGGGATGAGAAAGGGGGACTGGGGAAGGTGGTGAAGTATCAGGAAAAATGTCTGGAGGGGAGGGGTCTGAAGAAGGACACTGCTATGATATAGGGGGTTCACGTGAGTATTCAAATGGGAGCAATAGAGAGGGTGGGGTATGTTGGGAGGTGTAGGAGGAAGGGGGGTGGAGGGAACTTGAGGAGGAGGAGGATGGATATCTGCAAATATTTCAAATGTAGAAGGAGTAGGAACAGAGGGATTGGGGGGTTGCTGAGGGAGCACAGTGTTCCCTTGGGTCATCTTTAAGAAGTTTTGGATGTCTTCAAGTGTTTCTGGAAGGGAGTTGGGTGAAGAGGACTGAGATACAAAGGTTCGCTTATGAGGAGGAGATTTATATTTTTTTTAGACTTAGTTTCAATTCCATTTGTTACAATGGATATTCTTTGCTGTGACATACTGTCTGTTTTATTTTTCCTTCTAAGTCTCCCCCTGTGTGCAGGGAATGGCCGGGGTTACCATTCACTGGTACCGTGCAGGATCAAACACAGGTCAGCAAGATAGATATCTAAGGAACAGTAGAAGAGGAAGGTATAGGAGAGGATGTAGTAGGAGAGTGTGGAGTGGAACATACAGGTTGCCTGGTATGACAAATAAAGTGAGGAGGAGGGGTAGGTATTGGAGAAGTGGTAGAGATTGGAGTATCTGGATTTATAATGGAAAATCAATTCGACTGGTAGATAGGGTGAGTAGACATAGGGTGGTTTAGGGTAAAAGGGAGAGACACTGGGGGAAATGCAGAAATATCTTGTGAAGATGGTGGGGGAGCAGAGCGAAGAACTGTTGAAAGAGAAAACCTCGTCGTCATGCTTTCTGCCTGGCCTCACGTAGAGTGAGGCCTAGTTTAAATCTAAGGACTGCTACCTCACACTCAAACTTAAAGGCAAGGCAGCTCCAATAAAATACATTATGGGAGTCTCCATAAATGACACATGTACGTGACTGAGCAGGGCAACTTGAACAGTCATGACCAGGCTGGTCACGCATATAAAAGGCAGGAGGCTGTGGAGTGACAGTATTTGGCTGGGTGACCATAACCTCAACATTTCTGACATTGACGAAGAAGGAGTCGATATTCACACGGGACTTACACTGGCCTTTGGGAGGAATAGTGTAACACTGTTCTGACACTGCATTATATTTAGCAAGGCAGGTAAGTAGGTCATTTTCACAGTCTGACCAGTCCTTGCTGTAGATAGGACAGGCATTTGGGGGATAGAATCAGTTCCAGTACAAGTATAAAGAGAGGGGTGATATTTGGTAGGAATGGGTTTGCAAGTAAGGTCAGTTAGGGTAGATAGTGCACGAGATTGGGATTCAGATGTAACCATGACAAGGCATGAATGATCAGAGTGACTGCAAAAGGTAACCTTGCCTACTTGTTTCTGCAGACACTGTTGAAAGAGAAGGATATTCTCAGAATAGGGGGCTGTGGGAGGAATCACAAAGAATCGATCACATTTGGCTGGGCCAAAGAAAGTCCTCAGAAGGTTTGCAAAGGTATAGGTAGTAGAAGGATGAGAGAGAGAGAAAGATAAGTTTTTTGTGGGGTTGGAGGACAATAAGGATGAATAGCAGTAATAAGGGAAGAGGGGGGTAGACATTGAAGAAGACTGTGCAGTGGGAGATGGAGAGAAGAATGCTGAGAAAGAGGAAAGGGTGCTTTCTGGAGGTAATAACCTGGGTGGGTGTTTTGGAATGGTTAGAGTTGTCTGTAAGCATTGAAGAGGGGATATTAACCCACTAGCGCCAGTATATTTTGAAGTCGAAAGTAATAGTTTCCGGGCAGCTCCAAAATCGGTGCACAGGGCTGGCCCGGAACCAGCCCGTGTGCCGGCTGCAGCCTGCAACAGAATCGAAGGGCAACATCACACTGGCTAGACGCCTGGCAATGTTTATTTTTCCAGGTGTCTCATATGTGGGACACCCATCGAAAATGGGTTAATATCAGTATCTGGAGCCGTGGTCAAAGGAGGGGCAAGAGTTGGAAAACCATCAAAATCAAATTTAGATAGGCTAGCT